TCACGGCCCGTCCTCCGGGCCCCAGCACCCAGCCCTGCCGAGGGCGGCGGGAGCGCCGAAGCCTCCCTGCCCTGGGAAGGCTGCCACCGCGCCCAGCAACGCAGGAAACGTGTCCAGGAAGCGAGGAAGACCGTCTGCCTGATCCTCTGGCAGCGATGCCAAAGCACAGAACCCCCAGAGCCCTGCCGGACATCCTGACGCAGGGCCACGCCCAGGGACCCTACCCAAGCCATCGTGGCACCCTAGGGCCGCAACCCCCGGAGTCCGGGCCGAGCGCGTTCTACGCACCCACCATGTTGCTAACAGCGAACTGCGAGGTGTACACAAAGTCGCCTGCAAATCCTAGACCTTACGCAATCGATCCTGATATACAACACAAAAATAAACGACATATGTTTTTCTAAGAAGTGACTGATTTCATTAGCAGTAGAAACTATGTAATAAATCTTGGCCCTACCAAGCAAAATGTCTGACAAGGGTTCGGCAGGGTTCTGAAAAGACCGCTTGACGCCACACTGGACAGGGAGAGGTCCTCCTCAAAGGACTTCGGGGCGCACCTAATAACACACAGACGCCTCGTCGATTCTCTTCCTCCCAGGAGTGGGATGGGAAGGCCGGACGCCTCATGTACTCTGCGCGAGGCGAAACACCACGTTCCACCCTGACTGCCCTCCCTGCTGTGCGTGACCCTCCTCCTCCAGCTTCCATCTGGCCACTTCACATGAATTCCATCACGAAAGGAGTGGGGCAGTTTTGAGTCAAAGCCGCCCTTTAAGATTTGTTTGCTAACACGTCTGAAAAGATGTTGAAGTTAACGAATAAAATCATGTTTTAAGTTATCTGTAGATTCTGTTATCCCTAACTACTATACAAATTTGGGCCTCTTGATAGAATAAAGCCTTATTGTTTTTACAAAGTAGTTCAGTAGGAAAATCAGATATATTTCTTAAAGGTCTTCAAGATAAACTAGACCTGAGATGCTTTAAGGACAACTTTTTTTTTTTTGAGTTGGGAGTCTCACTCTCACCCAGGCTGGAGTGCCGTGGCACACTCCTGGCCACTGCAGCCTCGACCTGCTGGGCTCAGGAGATCCTTCCACCTCAGCCTTCCACGTAGCTGGAACTGCAGGTGCACGCCACCATGCCAGTTACTTTTTTGATTTATTGTAGAGGCGAGGGCTCGCCAAGTTGCCCAGGCCAGTCTCAAATTTCTGGGCTCAGGCAATACTCTTGCCTCGGCGTCCCAAAATGCTGGGATTGCAGGTGAGAGCCACTGCACCCAGCAAGGGCAACTTTAACCATTAACTGTTTACTACAGCTACTGCTAGCCTGCAGACACTTAGCTAACAGTTTGTCACAACGGTTTTAACTATTTTCTCCATGATCTCGTCTAGCAAATGCTTTCTCGAAAAGTTCAGTGTAAACCCAATTGGGAGTAGCCCTTTATCCAAATTAATTTCAATATGGTAGAGACCAATGAATAAGGTTTTAAGTAACCAAATCAGGGAACAGGAAGCCTGAAACTGCATATGATAAGAATGGACATGGTAGGGATTGAAGGCCTTTTCCTGTTAGAATTCTGAAACTTCAGTCGCACCAGTGCTACAACTTTCCTCTGAAACTAAGTAACAAAACAACTCCCAGTCTTTCCTTGCCAAGCTAGATAATGGCATAAAACCAACACAACTCACCTCCAGCTCCTTCTCATCAAACGTCTTCAGCAGGTGCTGCGGAATCACTTCATCAAATCCCTTCTGCAGGGCCAGGAACTGTGCCTCGATGCCTCGTAAAAACCTCCAGTTAACATAAAGCCTGCAAACGTCGGGAGGGGTTCACGGGGTCACACATAGATGCTCAGACTTTGCAGTTATCAGGGGACTCCCTGTGGCAACCCTGCACCGCAGAAGCATCTGGCACGAAGAAACTAAAGTCTAAAAGACCTCAGAGCCGTGAGGCAGATCAGTAGGCGCAAAAGTGGTGGCCAACGACTATCAAAGGCAGCAGCAGTGTGGCAACTCTTCAAAAAAGAGCAGCTCCTGGTTTAGGAAGCCAGCTAGAGCTAAATGGGTCTGAAACTAAAATCTTGATGAAATTTCTTTCTAAACTTATAGCAGCACTACATGCCAAGAACCAGAATAAAGAGCCCATTCATTCAGCAACTGTTTCTCTGGTTTTACTTGAAGACATCATCTGAATGTGTTGGGTGTCTTCTGTACATTTGAGTGGAGAGGCGGTTGAGAATCTTTATGTCCCAAATGAGAAGAAAGTGTTAACAGCCAGCAGGAAGCACTTTTTGATTAAATACTCATTGTTCCCTGGAGGCTGTAAAAATTCTGGAAGACGTCAATTTTACCAACAAAAAGCGCACTAACCTATACCTGTGACTTGAGTGACCGTTTCTACTCAGCTCTCAACCCAGCAAGCCCCCCCATCTCGCACGTTGCAGAATGTACTCACTACTCATCTGTCACCTAGCATTTCCTTCTCCAGCTTGGAGACGTGCATCTCTACCTTTAAGAATGAAGCGACCTAACGTGACATCCTTGGGACCTCATTCGTGTGTTGGGTCAGGGACAGCCACACGGCCCATGGCACGAGTCCTCCCCACACTCTCCACCTCGAGCCTCCAGCTGGCACGGGCTGATGACTGCTGCGGCTGCGCCGAGTCCTGTACGGTGGGTCTCTGCAGGACGCGCTGTCCTGGAAATGGTGCTGCCGAGGCTCGGGAACTCCCACTCGCTCTTCTACTGCCCACCCAGCAACGGAATGCGTGCTTACTACACATATCCAGGAAAACCAGACATCGCCTGTGGAGACCGCACCCTCCTTCCCGCCCTCCTCTACCTCTGCCCCTCCCCCAGGGCAAGCGCTCTGCGGAGCCCCACCGAACAGCTCCAGGTCAAATAACACACACTCTGTTCCTGCCGAATTCTGCCAAGACTTGCTTCTGACATCTGACAGCTTATTCTCCTAAATAGCCACATGATACCTGCTAAATGTACATATTTAATCATTCTCTAAAAACATTTCAGTAGCTGGGTTTTTTACATCATAGCGAAGGAACCCGCCCTGCTCACTTCTTTATGCACATGTTGCTGTGGAGAGCCTACGTGAGCTGCTCTGAAGGGCACACACAGGTGGCCTCCATGGCTGGTACCAAAATGCCTTCCCAAAGACTACACCCATGTTCTTCTGCCGATACCACAGGAGACTGATGGGCCTTGTTTTTCAACTAGGAAAATTTCAGCCAATGAGATTTGGGAACAAAATCCACAAAAACAGTCCAGCATGTGTGTTTCTGTCACATACGACAAAGTTCAAGCTCCCAGAGCTGATTATCACCAACTGTGTTTAGAAGACTACATTTGGGCCAAATTAACTCGGCATTTAAAAATCCCTCAATCAGCCTTTATTTCATGAAACCCGAAGAACTATTTCAGCATTTCCCCTTGAGCTCACAGTGTGCTCCTTCAGGGACAGTGAGGGCACACGTGGCACAAAGGCACTCCCACACCACCTCCCGTGGCAGCTGCACGGCACAGGCCCACGCTCCAGTCTGCTGGCACTCACACCTTTGCACAGCCCCTCCTCCACACTGGCCTGGGCTGGCCAGCTCACCAACAGTGTACCATGGCAGTCAGCCTGGCCAGGACCAGGCCTAGGCCTTCAAAGATCCACTTCTGCCTCCGGGAAGCCGGCCTCCCACGATTCCGGCTGCCCTGCTGGGAGAGAGGCCACGGGGAGAGGGAAAGGCCTCTGGGGCCCATGGGGAGAACGAAGGAACCCAGCGTGGGCCCCAGACAGTGTCCCAGGGAAGAGCCACTCCCCCTAGCCCTCAGCACCTGACTCTCCTGACAGAAGGGTCACACCGGGGAGGGAAGAGGTCACCTCAGGGGCTCAGCCCCAGCTGACATCTCACGGAATGGCAGTGTGCCATCCCTACTGTCCTCTGCCAAATGACGGACCCCTGTGAGTAGGGAGTCAGTCACCGTTATTCTCACAATAACAACAATAATAAAATGGCTGCTGTCTATAAGCCACCAGTTTCTGCAGAAGGCTATTTTGTAGCAATAAGTAACACTATCTGAACACTTAAATGTTTGGGGTTTTTTTGAGTTGGAGTCTCACTCTCACCAGGCAGGAGTGCAGTCTCCCAAATAGCTGGGACCATAGGCACCACCACGACACCCTGCTAATTTTTTTGTTTTTTGTAGAGACAAGGTCTCACTATGGTGCCCCCTAGGCTCAAACAATCCACCCACCTTGGACTCACTCCCAAAGTGCTGGGATTACAGGCATGAGCCACCCACCATGCCCAGCCTGAAATGTTTTTTCATATCATCATTTCAGAGCATAAAAAAAATTATCAGCTTTGAAAACACAGATGAATGTTTACCTGACATATTCTTTTTTATTTTCTTCAGTAACAGGGATACTTTTGCCATTTGGTTTCAGTTCATGCTGAATAATTTCACCATATGCATTATGCTCAACACAGAAGGTATGGTCCAAAACACCTGTGGTATCATTCTCCCTAGACAGGAAAGAGGGAAAGATGTGTAACTGGGCAACTGATCCCACAGCTGTATTATCTGGTGAGACAGACAACACTTGGGTGGTTTTTGGGATGAGACAAATGTTAAGTTCAGTTCCTGCAAGTTCCTGTGCCACACACACCACCTAGTTCTTTCTGAGAGAGAAGTCAAAGTGCTTTTGTTTTGTTTTGTTTTGTTTGGAATTGGAGTCTCACTCTGTTGCCTAAGCTGGAGTGCAGTGGCACACTCACAGCCACCCCAGCATCGACCTGCTGGGCTCTGGCGATTCTTCTGCCTCAGCCTTCCAAGTAGCCAGAACTACAGGTGTGCTACCACGCCCAGCTAATTTTTGATTTACTGTAGAGACAAGGTCTCACCAAGTTGCCCAGGCTGGTCTGAACCCGCGGGTTCAAGTAATACACTCGCCTCAGCCTATAATACACTCGACTCAACCCAAAGTGCTGGGATTATAGGCTGAGCCACCGAACCCAGCCCAAAGCCCTTTAACCTTCATAAACACAGGAAACATTTCACTTCCTGAGCAATGAGAAGACCCTGGTCACAGCTGGGCTTTGCTAGAATCAACAATATAAGAACATTTCAGTTATGTCTGGCATTCAGGTAAGAATTTGGGTGCCCCCAAGTAACCAAACACCTGGGTATCCCCCCGCAGGAAAGCCTCTACGTATCTTGTGAAAATAAACAGCACCAGAGTATCTTTATAAAATTACGACCTCTTGCAGAACAAAATTAGTTCTGACTCTAGAAGTATGGCTCCAACAGCCACCACTTCATGAACAGCAGTGGGAGTAGGAATTTGCTGTCCTGATATATGCAGGATTGGAAAAGAACTTGCATCATATTGAGGCAATCATTACATACAGTATTTTGTGGGTTTTTTTTACATATAGTACTTTTTTTTTTTTGGAGTTGGAGTCTCACTCTGTCACCCAGGCTGGAGGGCAGTGGCATGCTCATGGTCACCACAAACTTGACCTGCTGGGCCCTGGCGATACTTCCACCTCAGTCTTCCAAGTAGCTGGAACCACGGGTGCATGCTACCACGCTCAGCTAATTTATTTATTTATTTATTGCAGAGACGAGGTCTCACCAAGTTGCCTGGGCTGGTATATACAGTACTTTTAAAAGCAGAATATACTCAATAACACTTGCTAACATTAAGGAATTTGAAATGCATGGGGAGGCACTTAGGGAAAATTCTTATGTGGTCTCATCATTCAGATAATCACTCTTAATATTTTCTGTATATAGTTTTTAAATTTAAAAAAAGTACATTAGTTTTGAAACATGCATTTAAAAAGAAAAAAAAAGCACCGAGTCTAACTGTAAGGAAAGATAGAAGACCCAATACATACAGTATCCACACTAAACTGTTATGGAGGTCTGGATCAACTAGCTCCATGTCATCCAAAGTGATGGGCTTCCCAAGCAGCTGCTTATAAAAAGGCAGTGTAAAGCCACCGTCGATATAGTGCCCATGAAACACAGCCATTCCCATTATTCGACCAACGAAGTGGAAATATGATAAATGCTCCTGAAATTGACAAGAGTTTACATAAATATTCAAGTTACAGACCATCCAGAGAATTTTTAACAAAACGTATTTTGGCTACATTAACTTTCACAGTAAGTATCCAATGTGTCTCTGCAACTATTTACATAGAACAGGTCATGTATCGAAGTTCAATGCTCAGCAGGGAGTGTTTCCATAGGGCATGCCCAAGATTCTCTGCATGACCATAAAACATGCCACTCTTAAAAGGAGTCGTCACTTTGTAAATTGTATCTTCAAAATTAAATCCAAACCACAGTCCCACTGCAGCGGCACTTAAGTCCCTGCGATCCTGCTCTCTCCCTCCGCCTGCTGAGCCTGTGGTCACGGAAAAGCCTTTCAGTCCTAAGCCTCCCAACTTCCTCGGCCTGAGCAGAAATTAAACATCAAAACGTCAAAGATTTAAAGCACAGATCTGGTGTCAGACTTGGAATCAAGTCATGATTCTGCCAGTTACTAGCATATGGGCAAATTAACTCCTTAAGGACTGACTGTCCCCAGCTGGAAATACGAAGATAACAGAACAGGGGCTCTGTGAGGAGTGAAACAAGGTAATTAAACCCATGGTGCTGGGCCAGCCTATGGTGAGCACTCAGCAGATGTGAGCTGTTGTTACCACAGTGGCAGGAGAGGGCACCCCAGAAAGAACCTTCAACCAAAAATCTTCCCCTAATGAAGAATTCCCTGCATCAACTCTCACATTTCTACCATTTGGATCCATTGGTTTTTCATTACAGGTTGTTTTGTTAGTTAGATATTTGTATTTTAAAATTCTTTTACTCCTCTATTTACTAAGTAATAGTAAAATGATAAAATTGAGGCATAAATCAATGAACTCGCCCACGGGCACAAAGCTAGTATGTGATGAAACAAGATATGACTTCATATCTTTCTAATTCCAGAATCTGTGCTCTTTATCATTTATGTCATTCTGTTCCATGCAATAATTTCACCACGTCTCATCCCTGCACCCCACCACCTGGTAGACAACTGTGTTGTTTCCAACCGGGGGCTACTGCAAACAATAAACGACTTTGGTCCCAAATTGTTGCACATATTCAAAATCAATTTCTTGGTGGAAAAAAAAATTTTTGAGTCAGAGTGTCACTCTGTCACCCAGGCCGGAATGCAATGGCACAGTCGTGACTTACCACAGCCTCCAATTCCTGGGTTCAAGTGATCCTCCAGCCTCACCCTCCTGAGTGGCTGGGACTACAGGCACACACCACCACACCTGGCTACTATTTTTACTTTTTGTAGAGACGAGGGCAGTGGCACAATCACAGCTCACCACAACATCAAACTCTGGGGCTCAAGCAATTCTCCAACTTCAGCCTCCCAAGTAGCTGGGAATACAGGCAGGGGCCACCACACCTCGATAATCTTTAATTTTTTTGTAGAGATGAGATCTCACTATGTTGCCCAGGCTGGTCTCAAACTCCTGGGCTCAAGCAATCCTTTTGCCTCAGCCTCCCAAAGTGCTGAGATTACAGATGTGAACCACTGGGCCTGGGTGGGAAAATTTTCTAGAAGAGGAATTGCTGAGTCAAAGGATATGACTAGGACGAGGACAAATAATTTAATATAATAAACGATACTGACACAAAGATGAAAATATTGTAGGCCACACATTAATTCACATCATTGCAAGTATAAATCATACCGGATTAACTGCAGAATCAGGATTGATCTGCAGTGTATAGATGTCATCTCTTGAATACTGGAAGAGGCCATAGTATGGATTTAACATTTCGTGTGATAAGAGATACAGCCATTCTCTAGAAAACAAGATAACAAGGCATTTTGATAATGAATACATTTTTATTAAGATATGTCACCAATTAATCACTTTAGCAAAATTTTTTTTTTTTTTGAGTTGGAGTCTCACTCGGTCGCCCAGACTGGAGTGCAGTGGCCGCTCCCGGCCACCGCAGCCTCGCCTGCTGGACTCCGGCAATCCTTCCACCTCAGCCTTCCGAGTAGCCGGAATTACAGGCACGTGCTACCACGCCCAGCTCATTTTTGATTTATGGTAGAGATGAGGTTTCGCTGCCCAGGCAGGTCTCGAACCCGCGGGTTCAGGCAATCCACTCACCACAGCCTCCCAAAGGCGCGGGATTACAGGCTGAGCCACCGAGCCCGGCTAGCAAAATTTTTTTAATTAATAAAAGGAAAAAAAAAGCACAAACTATAGTTATATAAGATCACATTGGAAAAAGCTACCATGCCCAAATAGCACATGAAACTCTTTTTTATAATACTGAAGCCACTTCTCACTCAACATTTGGGGAATTCTATTATATTTAAGCATCAGAGTTTAAAAGTATTATCCAGCTGTTCGACTACTCATAAAGTGCCCACAGCCCAGTGGTCTGCTACTCTTAGTTGCTAAATAAAGTTGTAATCCACAATAAACATAAAATGAAGGTAAGAATGTGGTTTTATTTCAAAATGTCATGGGATCTAGACTATCCTGGTCCACTCCTATCGTGGCGAATTTATACCAGTTTATAGACATATATCTTAGCATTAATTTACTCTTAATTTTGGACAAGGAAGCATTTTGGTTTTGGTATTGTTTGAGTAAGGAAATTTCATTCTCCATGTCATTATCTTTCACTGTATAAACCCCAAAACATATCATGATAAAAATGTAAGTGGTCAAATTCCAAGGCATTTGGCATTGGTATGGACACAGGGCTCCAAAGCACTTCTTAACTGCAAGTGCATATCAATGCTCTTAACACTTAGTAATAAAAATTAGTACTATCTCAAGTTTATTAAATCCTTCCTATTTTTCACAGTATACAAGCTAACTTGATACTCATCTTGGAAATTCACTAGTCTAGGACATAAGAGATGTAAGTTCTAGTCTCAATTCTTGTCATTCTTCAAGGTTACTTAAATGATATGTTTTGATATGGACTGAGCAGGTTAAATAATATGGTTTTAGCAAATGCAAAAGAATACTACTAACAACCAGCTAAAGAAAGATGTTTGAAAACTCTACAGTGTGGTGAAGTCTAAGCTACTTATGACCATAGTATATTGACTGAAAAGCGAGCCCAGTGATTACAAGAAGTCTCCAGGTAAGCAGCCTTCTCAGACCGACATACCACTCATCTCCTGTGCCCTGTATGGTTGCTTTTTTTTTTTTTTTAAGAAAATGCAAATTTGTTTCACCAGGTATTTAAAACACACATAAGAGCAGAACTCATTTTGGGTTCCACTATGGAATAACGTTCAGAAAGAGCAGATCACTGCCACATCCCTTTTACTCTCCCCAAGCCCTGATGGTAGTGAGGTTAAAAGACACACAAAAAACTGACTATTGGATCTGTATATATGATGATAGCACTTAGATGCCATTAGCATACAATTAACTTTTCTCAATATTCAAAACTACTTATTAGAAAATAATAAGAATTCCAGAGAAATCATCAAGTCCCAAGTATGATGTGTGACAGATTGTTTTTAAAAATCAAAGCTAGGCAGGCTCGGTGGCTCAGACTATAATCCTGTGCTTTGAGAGGCTGAGGTAAGTGGATTGCCTGAGCCCGCGGGTTCAAGACCTGCCCGGGGCAACTTGGCGAGATCTCACCTCTACAATAAATCAAAAAATTAGCCGGGCATGGTAGTGCACGCCTGTAGTCCCAGCTACTGGAAGGCTGAGGCAGAAGGATCACCAGAGCTCAGCAGGTCGAGGCTGCAGTGGACAGGAGAGGCCACTGCACTCCAGTCTGGGTGACATAGTGAGACTCCAACTCAAAAAAAAAAAAAAAAAAAAATCCAAGCTAAAGAAACTATCCATTTGCAGGTTTAAAAGACAACAGAGTGAAAATATGCCTACAGATAAACACATGTAATGATAAATAACAATTAATGGGACTTTGTGGAACAATTCAACTTAGGTTGGATTTAGATGAGGGGAAGCAGAATTAGCATAATGGTCCTTAGAAAAGTTCAGTACAGAGCTGTGATGCTTCTCCTACATGTACATAAAGTGAATTTTCCCACTTGGAAAAAAATTCTGACAGCAGATATGTTATAAGAAATAAATCAATCTGACTTGATATATGAATTAAAATGTAGCAGAAACATTGTACCTTCTATACTGAAACATTCTAAAGACCATCATGATATTTACAAGTGTATACAAGCACACGTCCACGCAGGTGCACACAAACTCCTTTAACAAGGTAAAGATGCACAGCAACAGAAGCAAGGGGAGGCAGGATGCCATTCAGATCAGATTGGGTATTATTAGTCTCAAAGTGCCTCTGACAATGGAGAGCAGAGGCAGCAGTACGAGCTGTGGGACAGAGACAGGCACACAGGGCCTATGCCTGCTCCCAACAGTCCACAGGGGCCACAGTTAGTTCTCCGAAAAAAGTCGCCCTGGGCTAAATGATCTCCTGGGGAGCCCTAGCCCCACGACGGATGCACCCATGAAGATATCCTCAGTATGCAGAACCAGGGAGTATGATGCCACAAAATAAAATACCCATGACGATATCCTCTGTATGGAAATACCAGGGAATATGATGCCACAAAATAAACGCCCACGAGAAAGTTCCACACAAGAAAGCATCTGAAATCTCTAAGTACAACAGCAAGTCCTTACCTGGCAACGCCCCCATAGTCAAGGCCTTCTTCTCCACGAAATTTTATCATTAATCGTTTCCAGAGATCTTTTGGTCTCATTTTCATGACCTGTCTATATGATTCCTGAAAAGAAAAAAAGTTAAATATACTATTATTAGGCACTTTTTTTTTGAGTTGGAGTCTCACTCCATTGCCCAGGCTGGAGTGCAGTGGCACACTCACGGCCACCCCAGCGTCAACCTGCTGGTATCTAGTGATCCTTCCGCCTCAGCCTTCCAAGTAGCTGGAACTACAGGCACTACCACACCTGGCTAATTTATTTATTATAGAGAAAGGTCTCGCCAAGTTGCCCGGGTTGGTCTTAAACCCGCAGGCTCAGGCAATCCACTCATCTCAGTCTCCCAAAGTGATGGGATTACAGGCTGAGCCACCAAGCCCAGTCAGGCACTTATTATCTATTATTTAAACTCTACCTCCCATAAATCATGTCTATTATTTAAATAAGGTCAAATCCGTTCAACAATCAATGAATAAATTCCAGATGTTTTAATCATGAAACTTTTAAAAACAAAATGGATATACATTAATCTGATTGAAATCAGTTCATTTGAAAAATATTATATTAAAAGCCTACTTGGCACAAAACTCCGTATTTTAGTTCAACAAAGCATATCCATGGTTCTACTCATGTTAAAAACAAAATCTGGTAGTAGTGGTTGACCAAATTCTAGGTCACAGGCACTAGTAGAAAAGAAATGCAAAAAAAAAAATAAAGTTTCAACATAGGTAATAATGTGATCTTCCCGACAAAGGCAACTTTGTATCATTTTAAAATACAAATGCCTGGGTATGGTGACGCGTGCCTGTAGTCCCAGCTACTCGGGAGACTGAGGCAGGAGGAGCTCTTGAGGCCAGGAGGTTGAGGTCACAGAGTGTTATGACAGCACCACTACACTCCACCCTGGGGAAGAAAGACCTTGACTCTAAAAAAAAAATTTAAGCAATTAATTAAAAAAAAAAAAAGTACAAATGCCTGACTACAAACAAGGTCAGGCTATTCTGAGATTGCTTTAAAAGCCCACCCTCTGGGAGGAGGCCTACCAAGTCCCCACTTGTCTCTAGTCCTCCAGTGACGGGAAACCCTTTTGACCTCTGCTACCTACTAAGAACTTTGACATGGACATAAAGACTATAATCCAAAGATAAAGAATTATATACCAGAAAGGGAGATTTTCGATAAACTAAGGAAACAGTCCAATAGTAATTAGTCTAATATTTTTTCTTTCTTATTTAAGAGTTTCTTACCTTTCAGAAGATTTAGAAAGGGATAGATACTATTTGTGGATCAATAAATATTTGTAACACACAAACCAAACTGAACCAATTAGAACATCTAACACTCTTCATCCAATTTAAATGCTCCTCTCACGTTAAATTTATCCAATATTATTGCCTTTATTCCTCACAATTAACAAATAAATTACTAGAACTCTTCCTTCCTCAAGAGATAGGAGTCCCACAATAGTAATCTTGAAAAACAGAAAGTAAAACACTAAAATTTCATTTCTCGCTAATTTAAAACAAGGCTTGGAAGTTCACCTCAAAAATCTCTTCCCTGGAAACCTCAATGCGGCAGTGGCCAGCCTGAGGCTGTTGCTGGGAAAGTTCCTGTCGCAAAATTTTTAGCTTCTGAACCAGGTCTCGCTTGTACCTCGGGACTGTCAAACACTCTGTGTCATCAGGACATAATGACACCACCTGCTGTTGCTGCTGGTCTTTCAACTGGTTCTGCCGACTAGAAATAAATACAATGTTATTATTAAAGTACTGTAAATAAAAAGACGGCAACTCTACATTTAGAATAGCATTCTACTAATAAGACAAATCTATATCATTCCCCAAGCTTTGCTGGGACACATGCAGCTTGACATTTCTGGCAATAAACCAGCCCCAGTGTTTCTTCTCACAGCCCAACTGGACTGATAGAATCAGATAATGGTGCTTTATCGGTGAATCTTTACAGTTGATGGGAACACATTTTTTCCAACACCAACTCTGTTTTCCTCTATATAGCTTTCAGTTGTCTGCTTTAAAATTCAGGCACATGCCAAACACTGTGTGTTATCTAGAATCTATCTTTCTCGAAGAGTCAAACAAGAATCTGAACTGGCAGCTTGGCAGGGGCCCCTTCTTTTTTATGTATCAGACCAAATTTTATACCTAAAACACGACTATATGGAGAAAATACTGCTTTGTTAAAAATGTCAATAATAGCCGGGCTCAGTAGCTCAGCCTGTAATCCCAGCACTTTGGGAGGCCGAGGTTAGTGGATTGCCTGAGCCCACGGGTTCGAGACCCGCCCGGGGCAACTTGGCGAGACCTCATCTCTACAATAAATCAAAAATGAGCCGGGCATGGTAGCATGCGCCTGTAGTTCCAGCTACTCGGAAGGCTGAGGCGGAAGGACTGCCAGAGCCCAGCAGGTTGAGGCTGCGGTGGCCGGGAGTGGCTACTGCACTCCAGTCTGGGCAACAGAGTGAGACTCCAACACAAAAAAAAAAAAAAAAAAAAAAAAAAAGTCAATATTAAGTGCTCTTACAAACATTATCATGAGTAAAAGTATTTTACATACACACACAAAATCAACATAGATTACAGAAATAAAGGCATTCCACGAGCAATTGTATTAAAAAATACACCGGGGTATACCTCATACCAGATACAAAAAGAAACTCAAAATGGATAGATCTCAATGTAAAACCCTAAGCCAGAAAATTTCTAAATACACGAAGAGAACTGTTTATGACCCCTGTTAGGCGATGAATAATTTCCCAGATACCACATCAAAAGCACGATCCATAAAAGAACACATGGATAAATTGAACTTCATCATTTTTTTTTAAATAAATAGGTCTTGCTATGTTGCCAGGCTGGCCTTGACTTCCTGAGCTCAAATGGTCCTCTCGCCTTAGCCTCCTGAGTAGCTGGAACGACAGGTTCAGCCACTGTGCCTAGCTTAAAAAAAAGTTCTGCTCTTGCACAGATACTGTCAAGAAAATGAAAAGACAAGTCCTGGATGAGGAAAAATCTTTGGAAAGTATTCATCTGATATCTAAATTTCTAAAGAACTCTCAAAACTCAACAATAAAAAACCAAACAGTTGAATTTGGGCGGAGGAAGATTTCACCACATATAGATGGCAAATAAGCACATGAAAGGTACTCAGTTCAACATCATTAGTCATCAAAGAAATGCAAGTTAAAACCAAAACAAGACACCACCAGAAATCATTAGAATGTCCAAAGTTAGTAAGACTGACCATACCAAGTGTCAGTCGTGACACGGAGCCACTGAAACTCTCCTCCACTGCTGGCAGGAATGGAAAATGGCACGGCCACTGTGAAAAAACCATCCGGCTCGCGCGGTGGCTCACACCATAATCCCAGCACTTTGGAAGACCAAGGTGGGAGAATCACTCGAGCCCAGGGGCTCAACACCAGCCTGGGCAGCACAGGGAGACCTTGTCTCTATGGAAAAAATGGGCCAGGCATGGTGGCACAAACCTGGAGTCCCAGCTACTCGAGATGCTGAAGTGGAAGGGTCACCTGTGCCCAAGAGGTCAGGGCTGCTGTGAGCAGTGATCAAGATTATGCCACTGCATTCCAGCCTGGGTGACAGAGTGAGACCCACACTCAAAAAAAAAGCAACACAAAAACAATAAAACCAATCTGGCACTTTCTTTAAAAGTTGGCGGGGCACGGTGGCTCACGCCTGTAATTCCAGCACTTCGGGAGACAAAAGTGAGAGGATAGCCTGGGCAACCTGGTGAGACCTCATCTCTACAGTAAGTCAAAAAAATGAGCCAGGTGTGGTGGCACATGCCTGTAGTTCCAGCTCTTTGGAAGGCTGAGGTAGGAGAATCGCCTGAGTCCAGCAGGTCGAGGCTACGGTGGCCATGCGCGTGCCACTGCACTCCAGCCTGGGTGAGAAAGTAGACTCTGGCTCAAAAAAAGAAAAAAAAGTTAAAACACAAATCTATCATATGATGCAGCCATTCTACTCCTGGGTATTTATTTGCCCAAGAGAAACGAGAGCGAAAGTCCATAAGCTGGGCTCCAGCGATTCTTCCACCTCAGCCTTCCAAGTAGCCGGAACTTTACGCACGCACTACCATGCCCAGCTAATTTTTGATTTATCATAGAGACGAGGTTTTGCCAAGTTTCCCGGGTGGGTCTCGAACCTGTGGACTCAGGCAACCCACTCACCTTGGCCTCCCAAAGTGCTCGAATTACAGGCTGAGCCACGAAGTCCGGTAGTCCATAAGCTCTTGTGTGTAAAAGTCCATCATTGTTTCATCTGTCATGCCCCAACACTGAACCCAGGCATCCACCAATAGACAAATGGATAAATAAACTGCACCATACCCATACAATAGAAAACCACCAATAATAAGTGAACTGTACATGCAACAAAAATAACAAACCTCAAAATTATATGGGTAAAAGAAACCAAACCAAAAAAGAACACACACTGTATGATTTCACTTCTCTAAAACCCTAGAAAATACAAACAGACAGTGACAGAAAGCATATCTGTGAGTGGCGAGGGCAGATGTCCCATGGGTTGAACTGTGTCTCCCTGTAAAATATGCTGAGATCACAACCCCTGGATCCTGTGAGTGTGACCTTATCTGTGAAACAGGGTCTCTACAGATAGCAGCAAGTTAAGACAAGGTCATACTTGATTAGGGTGGCCATAAAGCCAGTAACTGGTGTCCTTATTAGAAAGGAAAACCTGGATACAGACACACAGGAAAGAGGACCATGGGAAGACAGAAGACAAAGACTGGAGTGCCATGCCCCCAAGCCAAGGGACAGCAAGGCTTCTAGAAGCCACCAGAGCCAGGAGAGAGGCACAAACAGGTTCGCCCTCAGGTCCTCCAGAAGGAAGCAACCCTTACTCAGAATTTCTGCTGAAATTTTATGCCACCCAGTCTGTGACACTCTGTCGCAGCAGCTCTGGGAAACCAACACAAGATGGAAGGAGTCACAGGGGAGATCACAAAGGGCCCGGGAAAATGTCTGTCTTCACAGTGTCTGTCAAGACTTCAACTGCACACTTTAAATGCTCAGCTTATTTTACGTCAGTTGTATTTCTTTTCTTTTTTTTTTCAGTTGGAGTCTCACTCTGTCGCCCAGACTGGACTGCAGTGGCCGCCGCGACCTGCTAGGCTCTGACGATCCTTCCACTTCAGCGCTCCAAGGAGCTGGAACTACAGGCGCGCACTACCACGCCCGGCTAATTTTTGATCTACTGTAGAGATGAGGTCTCGCCAAGTTGCCCAGGCGAGTCTCGAACCCGCGGGCTCAGGCAATCCACTCACCTCGGCCTCCCAAAGGCGCGGGATTACAGGTTGAGCCACCGAGCCCGACTACGTCAGCTGTATTTCAATAAGAATGATTTTTACAAAAATCTAGGGGACGTCAAGCCCCTTCACAAAGCCTCTTGTAAAAGACTGTCCACAACAAGCAAACAGAAGGAAGCTTCAAGTTGAAGGACAAACTGACACAGCAAGTTCCTGATGCATTCAGGGACTATCTCACTGCCCAGCAACGCAGCCTGCCTCTTCAGGTGTGCCAGAATGCAGGATCCAGCTATGCTAAGGGTTGGGGTAAAGTCAGTCAGGAAACAACAGAGATATTGGCTGGTCTCCTCTGAAGCCACTGCCAACGTCAAGAGACTATCAAAGCAATCAAATAATTTTCTTGAAACTGAGTGGCCGGGCTTGGTGGCTCAACCTCTAATCCCGTGCCTTTGGGAGGCTGAGGTAAGTGGATTGCCTGAGGCCGCGGGTTCGAGACCCGCTTGGGTAGGCGCAACCTCATCTCTACAATAAATCAAAAAATTAGCCAGGTGTGGTAGCGCGCGCCTGTAGTTCCAGCTACTTGGAAGGCTGAGGCGGAAGGATCGC